CGGCCTATGTCTCTGCCCTATCATTCCGTTCCCTTTGCCTCCCTCTTCGCTTTATTCCCTCGGTGAGATTGCATTTCTGACATGACGAAGGTGTATGAGCCGTGTGGCGATGCTATTGCCACGACGCGCTAATATATGTCCTGACTGCAATGCGTCAATAAACTTTACACACATCCAGGTTGCAGTCTTCATTGAGATCAGTACCAACTCTTGGCTAAAATCACAAGTTCTTGCCACTGTATTCGTACATGTTACGCCCTTCATCTGTGAAGCAGTTAAACAACAGCAATGTACTCTATAGTTGTAGAAAGCACTCGACCATTTGTGTATTACGCAAGAAAATATCCTCAGCAATTGCTGAATAACTTCATTGTTCTCCTCTTGTCTGAGATCGACAGGAGCAGTGACGCACTGCGAACAGTGATGGATATTTGAACCAACTCGGGCCTTCCCTAGGTAGACTCAATCTAATATGAATAACTGATGTGGTGTGTAAACATCTGTTCTGATGAGACAAAGGCATCCGAGCGTGGTGCTGACCAAACACCATACCATCGTATGCCGTGCCGGCCTTCATAGGTACTCGCTACCAGCACTTGACCCGACAGCCTGTTAAAGGCTATGGGGGGGGGACCTTTTTCTTTATTGTGACCAGCAGAATGGTGGTTGAACGTGAAACAGTCAGTCTGCTCGACCGAGTATTCAACCTGTGTGGATGAATCAATGGAGTGAAGTTCACGGGAACAGTGCTAGCAGTAGTCGCAATAGAAGAGTGATAAGGGGGCGACTGACTTTCGGTGAGTGAGTGAGCAAGTAAATGGGGTGAAACAGTCAAGACATTCATGGCAGGGACCACATCTCAAACGCAAGTTGTATGGCCTCTTCCTGTTTGCGACAGAATTAAGCGGCTGTGAAGGGTGGAGGAGGGCGCACAGCACGCGTTTGACTCACCAGATCTGACCCAAACGTCAGTTATGAAACATGTGAACTTTTTTTTATATCTCACGCGACACCGCCCCCCCCCCCCCCCCGTGCCTGCACGTGGGACATTGCATCTGATCAGAATCAGGATCTGTATTTATACTGGGAGGAATCCGATGAGCTGTGAAGCTCTTTTTTCGCAGATGTCCAGCAGACACCCGAGTTACTGACGTTGAGCAACTCGCGAAATATGCCACACTCCCGAATCCAGAACTCGCAAATCGACGCCGGGATGGTGCGCGCAGAGTTTTGTTACATTTGAAACTGCCTGCGAAGATTAGGCACGGCCCCTCGCATGCCCGCCTTGTCCGAAGTCTCAACGTAATTCCGCTCTGAAATTGCTATTATGCATTTTTACTTAATACGTACTTACTACAGTCGAGTCGTGTATTCACTTTGTTATAAACGCGACGACTGTGAGGTCCATTCAAAAGGACGCAAAAGCAATCAGCTAGCGCTCCCCGAGAGCGCTAAAATGATAACTGTGCGGCGTTGTTGTTAAACACCCTGCATCTCCCGATGAGTCATCCTCCTGAATTCCTCTCACCATCATCACCTCTATCGTCGTCAAATCATTCTCATCATCAAAGGTCGTAAAAAAAAACACATCGTTCTTGATAATACATTATTTATTCATGGTAGTCTTTGTTATTAAACAGTTACCATCCCCCACACCCCCCCCCCCCCCCCGCGATATTCACTCGTACCAGGAACGCAACCCCAGTTTTCCCATTGTAGCAAGGCTTCCGAATTTGCGAATCCCCCGCATCCGCGACCGTTTTCAAGAACGTAACCCTCGCGGATAGAAAGGGTTGACGGCACCATCTCGTTTGTAAATCACGACGGCAATGGCGCTCAACTGCAAGGCATTTCAAAACAACCATTTTTCGAGTTCCCGCATGGCTACCCAGAGGTAATTATATTACCTGTTATTTAAAAGCAGCCTGCAGAGAGGGGCGCTTTTGGACACAGGTGTGGAGACAATTAGCTGAGAGTGTTGTTACTCTCTAAGGGGTGTCAATTCCCCATTTGCTGGGGAATAACTCCTGTGTTATGTATGTATGTATGCGTTTGTATATATATATGGAACATGAGCTCGATTGTGAAGCAGAGCTAAATACACATCAAGCGGTAGGTGATATGTTATACCGGCACAGGATCTCCCCCTAGGTAGAGTACCTGAAACGTCAGCACTTGGGAGACAAAGGCGGTTGGGCAAGCGAGGTGCTTGAGAACATGACCGGCCTAATAGGCGCGCCATGCCCGGCTTCATAGGTGCACCCATAACAGCCATTGCCCCAACAGACTGTGTAGGCTACACACGCATATTTGTCCGTGTGTTTTATATTCAAACATATCTACAGTATATATTATCTCATCTCGGTCTATGTTTTGTTGAGATTATGGAGAGGTACTACAATAGAAAGTCGAATTCAGGTGAGAGGTGAGTGAGATGTGTGTGTGTGGCTGTTGGTATGTTTAACAGCAGAGGTCTCACTCCGAATCAGTCGAGCAGCAATATCTCTTCATCGGTTGCGTAACGCTGTGTGGAAGCTACCTGGTCTGTCGCTCCGCACTAAGCTTCAGGTTTTCTCGGCCACGGTCATTCCCTCCCTTCTCTACGCTTGCGAAACGTGGACCCCCCCTAATGGAGCATCTTCGCCGGTTAGAAACATTTAGGCTGGCCTGCCTACGATCCATCCTGGGTTTAACCAGACTGGATTGTGTGAGGAGCTCACAAATCCTTGAAAGATCTGGGCAAGGTCCCATCGGTGAGCACCTCCGGCGGGCAAGGCTGCGATGGCTGGGTCATGTAGCCCGCATGCCCAGCCACCGCATGCCGAAACAGCTTTTGTTCGGCCGGATTGAGGGGGCTAAGCGGGCGCGGCACGGGCTAGAGAAGAGATGGAGTATTGTGGTACAGGAGGACATGGAGCTGAGTGGACTTGCCGATGACTGGTACCAGCGGTGTCAAGATTGGCCTCTGTGGAGGAGGCTCGTGAGGGACGCTACTGGGCAGTTGGAGGTAGTCGCCCTCCAACAACAACGGACGGCGGAGGAGCGACGCTCACAACAACGAGCGGAGCGCCGGGTGGCTGAAGTACAACGAGTTGGCACAGTAGGGGGAACAGGTGGTGCATCAGCCAGTCATCTCAGTCAGTCGACCCGTAGCACCTGGGTCTGCCCCGTGACCTCCAGCCAGCGGGCGTTCGACACTTCACATGGCCTCAGGGTGCACATAGCCTGGCACAAGCGTCGTGGTGACGTCACCGCCACTTTGTGGCGAATGGCGGTTGTTGTTGTTGGTATGTATGTTGTATGTATGTATGTTGAACTTATTTCGCCAACCGTGCTAAACAGTTCTAAATAAATGAGTTTTAAATCTAGGTTTAAAAGTGCATACAGTGAGGGAAAAAAGTATTTGATCCCCTGCTGATTTTGTACGTTTGCCCAATTTCAAAGAAATGATCAGTCTATAATTTTAATGTTAGGTTTATTTGAACAGTGAGAGACAATAACAACAACAAAATCGAGAAAAACGCATGTCAAAAATGTTATAAATTGATTTGCATTTTAATGAGGGAATAGGTATTTGATCCCCTCTCAAATAGAAAGATTTCTGGCTCCCAGGTGTCTTTTATACAGGTAACGAGTTGAGATCAGGAGCACACTCTTAAAGGGAGTGCTCCTAATCTCAGCTTGTTACCTGTATAAAAGACACCTGTCCACAGAAGCAATCAATCAATCAGATTCCAAACTCTCCACCATGGCCAAGACCAAAGAGCTCTCCAAGGATGTCAGGGACAAGATTGTAGACCTACACAAAGCTGGAATGGCATACAAGACCATTGCCAAGCAGCTTGGTGAGAAGGTGACAACAGTTGGTGTGATTATTCGCAAATGGAAGAAACACAAAAGTACTGTCAATCTCTCTCGGCCTGGGGCTCCATGCAAGATCTCACCTCGTGGAGTTGCAATGATCATGAGAACGGTGAGAAATCAGCCCAGAACTACACGGGAGGATCTTGTCAATGATCTCAAGGCAGCTGGGTCCATAGTCACCAAGAAAACAATTGGTAACGCACTACGCCGTGAAGGACTGAAATCCTGCAGCGTCCGCAAGGTCCCCCTACTCAGGAAAGCACATATACATGCCCGTCTGAAGTTTGGCAATGAACATCTGAATGATTCAGAGGACAACTGGGTGAAAGTGTTGTGGTCAGATGAGACCAAAATGGAGCTCTTTGGCATCAACTCAACTCGCCGTGTTTGGAGGAGGAGGAATGCTGTCTATTACCCCAAGAACACCATCCCCACCGTCAAACATGGAGGTGGAGACATTATGCTTTGGGGGTGTTTTCTGCTAAGGGGACAGGACAACTTAACCGCATCAAAGGGACGATGGACGGGCCCATGTACCGACACATCTTGGGTGAGAACCTCCTTCCCTCAGCCAGAGCATTGAAAATTGGCCGTGGATGGGTATTCAAGCATGACAATGACCCAAAACACACGGCCAAGGCAACAAAGGAGTGGCTCAAGAAGAAGCACATTAAGGTCCTGGAGTGGCCTAGCCAATCTCAAGATCTTAATCCCATAGAAAATTTGTGGAGGGAGCTGAATGTTCGAGTTGCCAAACGTCAACCTCGAAACCTTAACGGCTCGGAGAAGATCTGCAAAGAGGAGTGGGACAAAATGCCTCCTGAGATGTGTGCAAACCTGGTGGCCAACTACAAGAAACGTCTGACCTCTGTGATTGCCAACAAGAGTTTTGCCACCAAGTACTAAGTCATGTTTTGCAGAGGGTCAAATACTTATTTCCCTCATTAAAATGAAAATCAATTTATACAATTTTTGACATGCGTTTTTACGGATTTTTTTGTTGTTATTCTGTCTCTCACTGTTCAAATAAACCTACCATTAAAATTATAGACTGATCATTTCTTTGTCAGTGGGCAAACGTACAAAATTAGCAGGGGATCAAATACTTTTTTTCACTCACTGGAGCTCCAGTGGCTTCCTAAGAGCGCTCCAGAAGCGTTACCGTTGGTTGTAACAGGAGCAAGAAGATGTTGAAAACCAAGTTACAATTGATCCATCTGCCAAGTGACTGTCTCTAGCGGAGACTTACGTGCAGTAGATATCTCCATCAAATGTCATTCGCCGCTCTCCAGCTTAGGTCACGCATTCCTAACAAACAATAAATGCAAACTTGCATTCTGTACAGTGAGATGCTTCTTTCTTGCTGACCGTTGAGGGTTAATTTTGTATCATCGTAGCCCATTCGAATCTCCACGAAGTTGAAAGCGAAATTACAGAACAATATCCATTGGAACAGTTCAACGGTAGAACGAATTAATAATAATATAATTTAACAAATAACGTGACCGAGGAGGCAGACGAAACAATGAACGAGTCGGGTAGTAATGACTCATCGAGGCGGTGCGTGTGGACCTTCCACCAAGTCAGCTGCACGTCCAGCGACCTCTCGGCAGCGGAGCGAACCACCCTCCTCGCCATCCTCCTCTCCATCAGCGCCATCACCATCGCGGGCAACATCCTCACCATAGCCTCCATCCTCTACTTCAGGCAGCTGCAGACTCGCCCCAACGTCCTGACACTGTCTCTCGCCGTGGCGGACCTCCTGGTGGGCCTGCTGATCATGCTCTTCAACGCGATGAGCTCCGTGCACAACTGCTGGTTCTACGGTCGCGTCTCGTGCAGGGTCCACACGTGGCTCGACTACACCTTCTGCACGTCGTCCATCGTCCACCTCAGCTGCATCTCGTTCGACCGCTACGTGGCCATCAGCGACCCGCTGCGCAACAACGACAGTATCACGCACGCGGCACTGGCGGCGATGCTCGCCCTGTCCTGGTTCAGCTTCCCGATAGACGGCCTCGCCTTCATGCTGCAGTGGAACCTGGTCGGGCTGGAGGAGGAGACGAGATGGAGCTGTCCCGACGACTGCGAGGTGATCCTCAATCTGCCCTATGCAGTTGCCATCACCGCGTGCGCCTTTGTGTTGACTATGCTCCTCATGGCGCTCGCGTACGACCGCATCTACCGCCTGGCCCGGGTGCAGTCGTGCAAGATCAACAGCCTGGGTGCGCAGGTGCAGAAGGCGAGCAGCGACGCGGAATGCCTAAGTAAGTGGAATGCCATGAAGCGGGACCACAACGCCACCATTACGCTGGGCATCATCATCGGGATATTAATCGCGATCTGGATGCCCTATTTCGTGGTCTCGGCCACGGAGCCAATGGTCGGCTACCAGGCGGGCCCCGTGGCCTGGGAGGTCATCAACTGGTTCACGTACCTCAACTGGATGGCGAACCCCATCCTGTTCGCGGCCTTCAACATGTCCTTCCGCTGGGCCTTTCGCCTGCTCGTCATGTGCAGCGCCTTCCGGCCGGGGATCCGAGGCGTGGATCTGTTTAACTTCAAGGAGAGGCCAGCGTGACGGACTCGACCGAGTCTGATCACCGAGCCCGAATCGCATCGTCTCAGTCTTCGTTAGCCCCCCCTCCCCCCATCGTCCATCCCCTCCCATTCCCTACCCCTCCTCCCCAACAAGACGTTGCCATCTCTATCTTGCACTGCAACGATCCACCTCGTTTCTGCACATGAGTTAATATCGAATGCTCCATCTCCGTGCTGGACGATTCCTCTAAATGTAAATAACTGGGTGTGTGTGACGTTGCAGCAGCCACCCAACTGAAATGTAGCGGCAAAAGCGGGAGGTGGATATATTAAAATGTCTACATGGACCCACGTGTTTCCTCCTCCGGCTGCAACTCAGTCGATAGTCTCGCCCAGCGGCCACCATCCCTTCTGTCAACATGTCCTGCTCTCGCTTACTTGTCTGAACGGTCGACACGATGTCTGTAACTTGCGTGTGTTTTCTGAGCCACGTGTTACTCTTGCCTGTCTCTCAATGCATGTCTAGCATGAATCTCTCCGTGTTCTTCATGCACTATAGAGCGTTCGTTTTTTTTCTTGTTAATCGCCGTGTCTGTGTCTGTCCCTATGGAATCAAATCCTAGTTTCAGGGCCGGGTGGTCACGGTCATGTGAGGGCACGTGTCCTCCGTTCGTCACAATGGGTGGATGCATCATGTGTGACGTGCATGATCAACCATCTCTCTCACTCTCTCTCTTTGCTTTGTCCAAGCACGCACTGTTACACGCTCTTTGATGTTAACTCGTCGTCTTTTGCCTTCCGACCCGCAGATGGCAGTGCGGCAGTGATCGCCCAGCAGGCAATTTTCAGAAACCATAACACTTCATTTTGAACATAAATTATTTGTTTATGCTGCTGCGCGTCGGCAGTGGTGCACAGGCAGAATGAAGGAGGCAAAAATACTCAAAGCATACTCTTATATAAGCGCACAACTTTATCTATCTGTGATGAGCGCTGCACTTTCCATCGTTTTCATGCAGGGGGCACTGCAAACCTACATGCCCCCTGCATCAACGATGGGGGCGCAGAGACAGACATTCAAACACGTTCCTGCGGAGGGGGCTGGTAGGACATTTTATTTAATCCCGGTTGGGCTTCCAGTCCATTACGTTTCCTACAGTATATAATCCCGGTTGGGCTTCCAGTACACTACGTTTCCTACCAGTAATGCCCACTACGAGCGCATTTGTTATATATCCAGGTGTCTGGAAACACGCGGACAGACATACACAATTAATCCCCTGCCTCCTGTGAATTAATCCCGGTTGGGCTTCCAGTCCACTACGTTTCCTACCATTATTACGTTGGAATCGATCTGCAGACGGCGGTCTTTTCGCACGGCCAGCTCTATGTCGCCTTATCTCGATGCCGCAATCCCAAACAGGTGAAAGTCCGCATCGAACCGTACCCCCAGCAAGGCCATCTACTTAACGACGAGAGACAATTTACACGAAATGTCGTTGTCATTTAAGTCTTTCAGATGTAAAATGATACAAGCTTTTAATGAAGAATGTTTTTTTATCTAATTAAAAAAATATACATTTCAAAGATGTTTCATTTTAAAATTTCAAAACGGAGCATCGGGTACTTGCGTGAATGCGACGTTTGTGTGCAAAGATTTTTCGTGACTTTCCTGGCCGAAGGCCGTAAATGTATTTGAGGGGCGCCATAGGCGGCCCCGAAAAACCCCTAATTCAGAAATAACAAGGTGTGTGTGTGCGTGACCTCAAATGGAAACGTATCTAATAGGTGGCGTTTCGGGCAATGGCCCTTATTCATGTGCCATGATGTTTCGAGCTATGACCCTTATTCACGTGCTTTGAAGAAGGACCATTGTCTAAAACGTCGCCTACAATATATTGTTGTCCCTTTTAAAGGCACAGTTTTGTATACGAAACGTGTTGAGATTTTGTTGTTGTTATTTTGAAGTGAGGATGTTTAGCATGTTTGTCGGTGTTTAGTTATTCGTTGCGTTATGTACAGTTCTCGAGAAGAGAGGGACAACAATTTTTAATTAAACCAACAATAGAATGACAATGATGATTGCTGTTTTATTACATACATTTTGTATGTTGAGCTTTTTTCGCGACTTATGTAGGCAACCGCCATCATCGGAGTTTTTGGGGAAGGACAATAATCTAAACACAAAGCACAGTTTTAAAGAAATGCGTTTTCTCAATGTAGATGTAAAAGTGCGTAGCTCCAGTGGTTTCCTAATATCGGAAAGGAAGAGCATTCCAGACGGCCACAGAGGCGCATCTGAAAGCATGTGAAGCAATGGCCGTCTTTGTTTGATGGTTAGCCAAAGCCGCTGTGGGTATGACCGGATTTTGCGTGAGAACACAAACAAGAAAAAACTACCACTCTATGTATGTTTGTTGAACTTATTTTGTACCATACATAGCTAACCGTGCTAATCGGAGGTGCGCGGAAAGACAACACTCGTAACACACTGAGTTATGTTTTGTTTTCGAGCTATGAGAGCCAGGTACCACAAAGCAGACCTAAAACACAGTAGGACCAACACCTCAGCCGTGGCAGACCACTGTTATAATTCAGTGGGTTCACATGACATTGACTTCTCCAAGACAGAGGTTATCTGCAAGCCATCTGGCTAACATGAGAGATTCGTTCATGAGGCTATCCACATATACAAACACAGAGACAATTTCAACCGAGAAGATGGATTCTGGCTTATCAATCTTTGGAAGAATGTGATAAACCATTTCTGGTCTTGATTGATTTTGTTCACGCTTACGGTGACTTTGCGACCGCATTCCATTCTCCTTCTCTCCCCCCTCCTCCGTTCCGAGCATGGATGGACTCGTCTGTTTGAACAACCGCTAGTCGCTGTCCATGGTGCTAACATTAAGAAAAAACCGCCACTTTTTAAAAAAATTCTTGCTGGGGTTTTCAAACCTGATGATTGCTTGTGTTACAATCGAAACGTGAGAATTTTATTGTAAAATTTTTATTATTTCATTATTTCACTTCTACGTGACTTTACCGAAAGAACCAAGAATGTGAATGCCTGCAGTCACGAAATGTTTAAATCGAAAGTTAGTAGCTACTTAAACAGTCAGCAAATACCACTACAGTCAGTATATACTGGTTCAGTCAGTAGATGCAGTGAGGGAAAAAAGTATTTGATCCCCTGCTGATTTTGTACGTTTGCCCACTGACGAAAAAATGATCAGTCTATGATTTTAATGGTAGGTTTTTTTGAACACTGAGAGACAGAATGACAACAAAAAAATCCAGAAAAACGCATGTCAAAAATGTTATAAATTGATTTGCATTTTAATGAGGGAAATAAGTATTTGACCCCTCTCAATCAGAAAGATTTATGGCTCCCAGGTTTCTTTTATACAGGTAACGAGCTGAGATTAGGAGCACACTCTTAAAAAGAGTGCTCCTAATCTCAGCTTGTTACCTGTATAAAAGACACCTGTCCACAGAAGCAATCAATCAGATTCCAAACTCTCCACCATGGCCAAGACCAAAGAGCTCTCCAAGGATGTCAGAGACAAGATTGTAGACCTACACAAGGCTGGAATGAGCTACAAGACCATTGCCAAGCAGCTTGGTGAGAAGGTGACAACAGTTGGTGCAATTATTCGCAAATGGAAGAAACACAAAAGAACTATCAATCTCCCTCGGCCTGGGGCTCCATGCAAGATCTCACCTCGTGGAGTTGCAATGATCATGAGAACGATGAGGAATCAGCCCAGAACTACACGGAAGGATCTTGTCAATGATCTCAAGGCAGCTGGGACCATAGTCACCAAGAAAACAATTGATAACACACTACGCCGTGAAGGACTGAAATCCTGCAGCGCCCCCAAGGTCCCATGCTCAAGAAAGCACATATACATGCCCGTCTGAAGTTTGCCAAGGAACATCTGAATGATTCAGAGGACAACTGGGTGAAAGTGTTGTGGTCAGATGAGACAAAAATGGAGCTATTTGGCATCAACTGAACTCGCCGTATTTGGAGGAGGAGGAATGCTGCCTATGACCCCAAGAACACCATCCCCACCGTCAAACATGGAGGTGTAAACATTATGCATTGGGGGTGTTTTTCTGCTAAGTGGACAGGACAACTTCACCGCATCAAAGGGACGATGGACGGGGCCATGTACCGTCAAATCTTGGGTGAGAACCTCCTTCCTCAGCCAGGTCATTGAAAATGGGTCGTGAATGGGTATTCCAGCATGACAATGACCCAAAACACACGGCCCAGGCAACAAAGGAGTGGCTCAAGAAGAAGCACATTAAGATCCTGGAGTGGCCTACCCAGTCTCCAGACATTAATCCCATAGAAAATCTGTGGTGGGAGCTGAAGGTTCGAGTTGCCAAACGTCAGCCTCGAAACCTTAATGACTTGGAGAAGATCAGCAAAAAGGAGTGGGACAAAATTCCTCCTGAGATGTGTCAAACCTGGTGGCCAACTGCAAGAAACGTCTGACCTCTGTGATTGCCAACAAGCGTTTTAATAACCAAATACTAAGTCATGTTTTGCAGACGGATCAAATACTTATTTCCCTCATTAAAATGCAAATCTATTCAAAACATTTTTGACATGCGTTTTTCTGGATTTTGTTGTTGTTATTGTGTCTCTCACTGTTCAAATAAACCTACCATTAAAATTATAGACTGATCATTTCTTTGTCAGTGGGCAAACGTACAAAATCAGCAGGGGATCAAATACTTTTTTTTCCCTCACTGTACTACTACGGTCAATAGCGATTGCTATAGAGTCAGTAGAGTTAGTAGTTATTACTATAGAGACGGTAGATACTACTCTTGGGCCAGTAGATACTACTACGCTTAGTCGTTACTACTACAGTCAGTAAATGATACTGTAGGCCCAGTGGATACTTCTACGCTCAGTAGTTACTACAGTCAGTAAATACTACTATACAGTCAGTAGCTACTACTGGCTCAGTAGATACTACCAAAGCAAAAAAAGGTCAATATACAATAGAACTGATAGTGGCCAAGACATCCCCAATGCTGCATGAGAAATGACCTGCAAATTACTCAATTGGGATCACTGAGAGACAGAATAACAACAAAAAAATCCAGAAAAACGCATGTCAAAAATGTTATAAATTGATTTGCATTTTAATGAGGGAAATAAGTATTTGACCCCTCTCAATCAGAAAGATTTATGGCTCCCAGGTTTCTTTTATACAGGTAACGAGCTGAGATTAGGAGCACACTCTTAAAGAGAGTGCTCCTAATCTCAGCTTGTTACCTGTATAAAAGACACCTGTCCACAGAAGCAATCAATCAGATTCCAAACTCTCCACCATGGCCAAGACCAAAGAGCTCTCCAAGGATGTCAGAGACAAGATTGTAGACCTACACAAGGCTGGAATGAGCTACAAGACCATTGCCAAGCAGCTTGGTGAGAAGGTGACAACAGTTGGTGCAATTATTCGCAAATGGAAGAAACACAAAAGAACTATCAATCTCCCTCGGCCTGGGGCTCCATGCAAGATCTCACCTCGTGGAGTTGCAATGATCATGAGAACGATGAGGAATCAGCCCAGAACTACACGGAAGGATCTTGTCAATGATCTCAAGGCAGCTGGGACCATAGTCACCAAGAAAACAATTGATAACACACTACGCCGTGAAGGACTGAAATCTTGCAGCGCCCCCAAGGTCCCATGCTCAAGAAAGCACATATACATGCCCGTCTGAAGTTTGCCAAGGAACATCTGAATGATTCAGAGGACAACTGGGTGAAAGTGTTGTGGTCAGATGAGACAAAAATGGAGCTCTTTGGCATCAACTGAACTCGCCGTATTTGGAGGAGGAGGAATGCTGCCTATGACCCCAAGAACACCATCCCCACCGTCAAACATGGAGGTGTAAACATTATGCTTTGGGGGTGTTTTTCTGCTAAGTGGACAGGACAACTTCACCGCATCAAAGGGACGATGGACGGGGCCATGTACCGTCAAATCTTGGGTGAGAACCTCCTTCCTCAGCCAGGGCATTGAAAATGGGTCGTGGATGGGTCTTCCAGCATGACAATGACCCAAAACACACGGCCAAGGCAACAAAGGAGTGGCTCAAGAAGAAGCACATTAAGATCCTGGAGTGGCCTACCCAGTCTCCAGACATTAATCCCATAGAAAATCTGTGGTGGGAGCTGAAGGTTCGAGTTGCCAAACGTCAGCCTCGAAACCTTAATGACTTGGAGAAGATCTGCAAAAAGGAGTGGGACAAAATTCCTCCTGAGATGTGTCAAACCTGGTGGCCAACTGCAAGAAACGTCTGACCTCTGTGATTGCCAACAAGCGTTTTAATAACCAAATACTAAGTCATGTTTTGCAGAGGGATCAAATACTTATTTCCCTCATTAAAATGCAAATCTATTCATAACATTTTTGACATGCGGTTTTCTGGATTTTGTTGTTATTGTGTCTCTCACTGTTCAAATAAACCTACCATTAAAATTATAGACTGATCATTTCTTTGTCAGTGGGCAAACGTACAAAATCAGCAAGGGATCAAATACCTTTTTTCCCTCACTGTACTACTACGGTCAATAGCGATTGCTATAGAGTCAGTAGATTTAGTAATTACTACTATAGAGACGGTAGATACTACTCTTGGGCCAGTAGATACTACTACGCTTCGTCGTTACGACTACAGTCTGTAAATGATACTGTAGTCCCAGTGGATCCTACTACGGTCAGTAGTTACTACAGTCAGCAAATACTACTATACAGTCAGTAGCTACTACTGGCTCAGTAGATACTTCCAAAGCAAAAAAAACCTGTCAATATACAATACAACTGATAGTGGCCAAGACATCCCCAATGCTGCATGAGAAATGACCTGCAAATTACTCAATTGGGATCACGCACAGTCACATCGCCCCTTACTGCGAACACTTGGCATGAACCAGCCTGAGTCTCAGTGAAGCGCTCCTGGGTAAACATGCGGGAGACAGAAGAAGATTTCGTCTGTGTAACAATGATACTACCTAAGATCTGATGGTGTTGGTGGTGACGGTGAGGCTGTAAGAACGGTCCATGAATCATGGGTGCCGGCGTGACATCTACTCAACCTAATAGCGGGAAGAATACGGTGAAGTATGGTGATGTAATGACATTGGCCCCGATCACCTATTGACCTTGCTCTACCTCGTATACATGTTTGTTTCAGTAAAATAAACTTACGTAGTAGGCTGACGGTCTTAGTCGGTTAACAATGATAACAAACAACAAAAACATCCCATTAAATGAGGGGTTACCATTAATTTGTTTCGAAATTCTAGTTTTGAAAAACATCGGGTTCATCACCACGCGACGAAAATTCGCCCTGTGATGCGACAGGGCCCGGTGTGAAAGTGTTGCTCCCCTCGTGCCCGCCAGAGCTCAGGAGTAGAGAGATCTCCAAAGTGGTTCCATGATATCCGTTTCAGCAGGCCGTTCACACTGACGCGGAGGGACGATGCACGGCCTGTGTGACATATCCCAATGGATTAGTCCAATGGCAAAACGTCGCTCGCGCAACCGCGACATAACACTAGGGAATATCACATCACCATTTATAAATATATATATAATTTACAAAACTATAAATGATTAGACAAACCGTGTTTTAAAATAGCAATAATATGCAAGACACCCTCGAGACGCCCAATTAGCGTACACATTACCACATCCCTCGGCCGCGAGGTCTTTATGTGTAAACGAGGTGCGAACAATGGCTATATTTTAAATTATGTGAATCCACAGAGGACATCATCTTGCTAATATGCTCGAGAGAGTACACACACAGGCGCGCGCGCACACACACACACATTGCAACACACCCTGTGTCTGCGTGTGTTTGTGTATATATGTGATCTTTGTGGGGGGGTGTAAGCTGTGGTCTTATTGATTCTTCGCCGAAGTGACCTTCTCAATAAAAATAGGGAAGATGTTGGCGCGTGGTCCTAAGTGAAACGAGCGGTGAAGTTGCGGCGACTCTCCGTGCACTCACGGTAGGTGGGTGGTTAAGTACCTGCACGGCACACGCATAAAAAATAAAGACAAAGTTCCCCCCGTATAACCTTTACCAGACTGTAAGGACAAGTGTTCTTCGCGAGTGGCACCTATGACGGCCGGCACGGTACACGAGGAGGTGGGTGGCCAGCACCACGCCCGACCGCCTTTGTCTCCCCAGTGGCGATGTTTTACACATTGTATTAGGTACTAATTTGAGGCTGATTCGACCTAGGGAAGGCCCAGGACAGGTGGATCCTCCCGCAGTTGCACCGCCTGCACACTCGATAGCCACGCGACTGACTGCTGCGCTATTTTCAAATCGAGTTGCGTGATTTTTTTTCTGGCATTACCAATCACTTAATGACAACAAAAATCCTGCTTAAACCCCGGTTACCGGTTTGCCTCACATATACCGGCATGACATGTTGACCTCTTGAACTGAGAAACGATGCCAGCTCTCGTGGTGAAGTGGTCAGCAGCGTTCTGGACCTGAAATTCAGGGGCCGCCAGTTCGATGTCCCGGCCCGCCAGTTGAAACAGCGGGCAAGATTCTTCAACCTCTGCCCCTCCCCCCTCAGCCGATCGGTATAAGTCGTGTATAGTGTGGTAAAGTGTGGGTACGACCAGACATCTGATCAGCGTGGAAGAGGAGAACAATTACACCACCCTACCAGCTCTCGCCAACACCCCCTTACGCTCCTCACCACACACCTTGATAAAACTCACCACACACACACACACTGCCACTCTTCCCCATCCTCAACACACAGTCTGCTGCTTATCCTTCACCATACCGTATCGCTGCGGCGCAGCAGCTGCATGTTGACATTAAGCGGTTGTGCCGTTACAGCTCTTTCCCGTGAGTTGTTGGTGTTGTTACCGCGAGCTGTTAGGGCTCAGGTGTCCGAGGTTTCAGTTCAGTATCTGGAAGAGAAAAAAGCTCCCGGCATGCGCTGCGAAACGTCGGGCATCACGCGAAAGGGCACGCGGCAACAACCCGAAAAACTCACCAGAGAGCCGTACGGCACAGCCGTTAAGGCCTACTCGGTGGTACCTTTAAAAATAAAACAAATGCGTTTCTGTTTCTGTGCGGCAGATAATCATCCGCAGGGCGTGTAAAGTCAAATATCCAACCCCTGCACACCTACTGGACCCTCTACCGAACCTTCAGACGAACCTTCCATCAAACATTACCCCTGAAGAAACCTTCCGCCGGGGTGTGGGGAGACAGCGCGGCGACAGAGTCCGGGCGATCGTCGTGTACACACGGAACCATGCCTCTGCATAACGAGAGCTTCCCGTCCGTGCTGTGCGTCGTGACCTTCGCGACTTTCAACTGCACCCCTTCGCAAATGACCAACGTGGAGCGCGCCTTGCTCATGGGCGCCTTTACCATAGCCGTGGCCACGACCATCACTGGCAACATGCTCACCATCTCCTCCATCCTCTACTTCAGGCAGCTGCAGACGCGCACCAACGTGCTCGCCCTCTCGCTGGCCCTGGCCGACCTCCTCGTGGGCCTGCTGGTGATGCCCTTCGCGTCCACCCGCACCGCCTACGGCTGCTGGTTCTATGGCAGGACGTTCTGCAAGGTGCACACGTGGTTCGACTACACGCTCTGCACCTCGTCGATCCTCAACCTCATGTGCATATCCCTCGAGCGTTACGTGGCCATCTGCGACCCCCTGCGCTACGCGCGGCGGGTCACCGGCGCCACCCTCGTCGCGATGCTCGTGCTGTGCTGGAGCGGGGTCGTGGCGTACGGCCTCGCCTACCTCCTCGAGTGGAACATCGCGGGCATCGAGGACTCTGTGCAACAGACCACGTGCCCCGACAACTGCCCCGTCTTCATGAACGTGCAGTTCGCGCTGACCAACACGCTGTGCGCCTACGTCACCCCGATGCTGCTTATGCTAGCTGCGTACGCCAATGTGTACGCGATGGCTCGGGCCCAGGCGAGAAAGATCAGCATCGCGATGCTCCAGGCGCGATCGGCCGACGCGGCGGTGCGCAGCCGGTGGAGCGCCATGAAGCGAGAGCACAGCGCCACCAAGACGCTGGGAATCATCATGGGGGCGTTCGTCGTTTTCTGGGTCCCCTTCTTCGTCGTCGCCGCCTCCGAGCCACTGCTCGGCTACGCGTCCGACCCAGTGGTGTGGGAAGTGGCCAACTGGTTCACCTACATCAACTCCACAATGAACCCCATCCTCTTCGCGGCGTTCAATCGCTCGTTCCGCAACGCGTTCTATCTGATCGTGAGCGGCAAGATCATGCGTGGCAGCTACAGAGGGACGGATCTGTTCGGCTTCAATGGCTCTGGTAAATGAGTCAAGTAGGGTCGGTCGGGTGGTGCAGAAGGTGGGCCGTGCAGGATTTTATGAAATGGTGCTTGAAGAGGCGTTGTCGCGGCCAGAAGTGGTGGTGGTGGTGGTGATGCCGAAGGCCGGTGGGTCGACACTAACCGCAGAGCGGCAGCTAAAGGTGGGGACGTCCAGCGCAGCAAGAGATGGAGCGAAAAGATCTGCTCGCGTGTACCAGGCACGTGATTAGTTATTAGATTATTTCGAGCATTTTTCTGTTAGAAATTCACACTTGAAAAGCCACTTCGTTGAGCTGTTATTTGTGATCAGGTCGCTTCTGAAGAAGAAGCTAATAGCTCAAGGGGCTTCAGCTGGTGAGAAAACATTTTTATCGTTTTATTTGCATGTATTTTAAGTTATTTGTTTACCTTTTCTATACTTTGCACTCCTGTCGTGTTTTTTTTATCTAATAGTTTGTTGTTGTAACGTTCTTTCCCGCCCCTACCGTACATCTGCAAAAAAGAGCTTTGCAGCTCATCGGATTCCCCCAGTGTAAATACATATTCTGAATCTGAGTTTTCGACAAGCGAGGACTTGGTTTAACGCAGTTGTTCACATATCAGCCAATACATAATTCCGCAGCGAGTTGGATATGTGACGTTGCACGATACGTGTATTGGTAAGGGCTGTACTTGATGTTTTTTTCATCGCGGATTAATCGATTCGGTGAGTCTAGTGTGTGTTAGGGTGCCTGTGTTTTGTTTGTTTGCGTTAGCAGTGAGCTTTGTAGCGTAACCTATTCCGTTAGCTTGCATTCAACACATCTGCAAAGGGTGATAAAACCGCATCACAACAGAATTGATAGCGCACGCTTGCATTCAACAAATCTGCAAAGGGTGATAAAACCGCATCACAACAGAATGATAGCGCAGGCAAGAGATGTGCACACGTGAACACAAAGAACACGAGCATTTGTATATTATGCAAACGCTATCAGCGGTTCCTGAAGAACTGCTGTGCGGTCCCTTTTGTTTTAGGTCACCATCAAAATTAATTTGAGCAGAATGTGCCACCGACTGACTGACGGCAGCAGGAGCGATGCAGTGATAGACTGGTTTCGTCAGGAATTGGAACTCATCAGCACAGTATAGTCACCGATTTTCACAGTGATATTTGAGCCGGTTCTTGCACGGTCCAAGTATGACAAAGAACCCTTATATAATACACGGCATGGGGAGGTTTTCATCCAACAGTGGATGTTGGTGGTGACCTTGTCGAACGGTGGCGCGTTCGCCGCTTGTTTGCACAGATGCTCGGTTCGAATCCATGCGGCCGCCCCAATGAATACTGCGTTGTGTATTAACCACGATGACACTACGCACCGACTGTTCCGCTCTCAGTAGACGCTGAAGATCCCGTGGCGACATTTGCAACAGAAGTGCCATCGTGTGCCGATGTCACGGTCCAACATTTGCGAAAATTGCACAGAAAAATGACTCAACTGGGATCTCACGCACACAGCAGCAGCAGCAGAATAAATAATCACCGCTTACTGGCAGCAGACTGATACCACCGGTCACTCATGTAAATATGACTCATCCTGGTGTCGTGAGCCCTCACACCTGGTCCAGCCAAATCAAGTTGAGAGCCAGAAAGGGTTCCCCTGATTTTGTGGCGCTTTTGACGACAATGGAGTGCGGCGGTCTTCTTTCGCGAGATGGTCCTAGAGCGCCCTCTGGTGGCGATCATTGAACGTAAACGGGGAATACATTATCTCTGCGCACAGAAGCGTGTGGATTTAAATCCACGATTTAAGACACGTGTCAAACACAAGGCCCGCGGGCCGAATCCGGCCCGCTAGGCCATTTTCTGTGACCCTCGTAGAGATCAAAAGATCTCCGCCACACCAAGCTCTCTACCTGCAAGCAAGCAGGCGCGGCTCTCGCGCTACCTGCAGTTAGGAGCATCGGGGGTCACGTCTACAGGGGGCCCGTCGATCACTGTCACTGTTTGAAAAATAAACAGTGAAGTCCCGCCGCTCCTCGTCCTGCCCTCCCCCTTGCCGGCTCTCCTCTCTCCAGAGCCGGCCCCTAGAATGTTTTTTTTTTTTACCGCGCCGAGTGCCGGGTGTCACGGCACCCAAAGTGAAACCGTCGCGGGACACAGATTGAAATGTTGCTGATTTGTGTGGGTCGTTCCTTCACCATATTCAGACAGAAAAACGTTTGGATTCATCTGCTACCAAAATACTGGTATGTTTAAGGAGCTGCATTGTCTGTCAATATTGTGTGTGTATATCAGTCACTAACACACAAACTCACACTAATACACACTCACATAATACTCGTGAACACTCGCATAACATGCACTAATACTCACTCACACTAATACACGCGCACTAATACACACGCACAAACACACACACACTCACCGCTCACTAATACACACTCGCTAATACACACATACAGTGGCGTAACTACCATGGTTGCTACTGGTGCTGTGGATGTATGGCATGTGGTGTTTTCACGTGGTTGCCTGGTAGTTTAGGGGGACCAGTGGTGTCTACTTACACCTCTGGTCAAGTCACGTCACATGACCTCCCGGCGCTCAGGTCCCGTGACATGTGCGGTGACGCGGGGAGCATGGTTGCTGAGAGTATCCCTGTCCTGCCCTGACTAGGAGAAGACATCAGGAGACGGTGGATGAAATACAAATAAAGCATAGAAAAAGTAAGTGCTGCTGCATATTAAATAAAAAAAACAGTCATTAAAAAACAATGTGCTGGGAGCCTGTGCAGTCCTGGGATGCATTGGCAAGTCTGAGGGTCAGATTGGCAAGTCTGAGGGTCAGATTGGCAAGTCTGAGGGTCAGATTGGCAAGTCTGAGGGTCAGATTGGCAAGTCTGGGGGTCAGATTGGCAAGTCTGAGGGTCAGATTGGCAAGTCTGGGGGTCAGATTGGCAAGTCTGGGGGTCAGATTGGCAAGTCTGGGGGTCAGATTGGCAAGTCTGAGGGTCAGATTGGCAAGTCTGGGGGTCAGATTGGCAAGTCTGGGGGTCAGATTGGCAAGTCTGGGGGTCAGATTGGCAAGTCTGGGGGTCAGATTGGCAAGTCTGGGAATGCATTGGCAAGTCTGGGGGTCAGATTGGCAAGTCTGGGGGTCAGATTGGCAAGTCTGGGGGTCAGATTGACAAGTCTGGGGGTCAGATTGACAAGTCTGGGGGTCAGATTGGCAAGTCTGGAAATGCATTGGCAAGTCTGAGGGTCGGATTGATAAGTCTGAGGGTCGCATTGATAAGTCTGGGAATGCATTGACAAGTGTGAGGGTCAGATTGATAAGTCTGGGGGTCGGATTAATAAGTCTGGGAATGCATTGACAAGGTACAACACTGTGATGCTCACAGAGTTATACCTAATTACTTAAGTTATTACTAAAACCAGTAATAATCGAATGCAGAGGCAATTATTTAATAGGATAAAGAGTAGATGCATTTATATAATCTTACAGATACAACCGGCCCTTTGAGGCACCCATAATGATGATGCGACCCAAGATTAAATTGAGTTCGACACCCCTAATTTAAGGGGTGAGTGCTGCGTTGGCAATGGTGCACAACCAATAACAACAACGCAATACGCTCGGTGTCAATAACAACACCGCGTGTGGCCTGAAAATACAATGTATAATAGGCGATGTTTCGTGCAATGGCCCTACTTCATAGCATAATATACGAATGTGTTATCAAGGGCCATTGTCTGAAACGTCGCCTGTTATATATTTTTTATTAAGGCCCACATCTATTAGATTATTCATCACGATTCCTACGCACGGCATCGATGCAGTCATCGATGCTTAGTTTGTCTCTCTTTGTTCCGTCTCAATCACCACTATCCTAAATGTCAGGATCAGCTGATTATCGTGATGATCTTAATCAATCGATACTCATGTGCAAAGTAATTGATAATTATCGACTAATCTATTCACAAACCCAGATTATAAGACGCACTTTTTTACCCACCTGTAATTTAAAGCAACTATTTGGGGTTGTGTCTTATTATCCGGTCTGTGTTATGTGTTTATATGGCGTGTGTGTGACCAGATATGTACAGTATAACGATACAGATACCGGGCACAGCTTTCTAATGCGTGTTACTTTCTAGAGCGTCTTATTATCCGGAAATTATACACAGTATATATCCATCAATTAAAATATATTCTGAAATTAGACGATAAGAATTAGTTGGTAATCGTTATCGATTCATATGTCGTATGTGGTTTTAGGTTAACCCTCTCTAGACACTAGGTGCGGCTATATTCACACTACACATTGTTATATAAAATACATCTCACGGTGGCCAGATGTTAGCTACCTCGCCTGGTATGCGAGAGGCATGTGTTCGATCCTGACCTGACGCCTGCTGTATATTTGGAGTTTGCATGTCTCTCGCCCCGTGGTTGCGTGGATTTTTTTCCGGGTCCTCCGGTTTTTCTTTCCACATTTAGAAACATGCATTTCGAGTATTTTACTATAAATTTACACGTGATAAGCCACTTTGTTGAACTATTGTGATAGCCAGGTCGCTTCTGAAAAAGTGCTATACAGCTCAGTGGGCCTTACCTGGTAAAAAATATATATATAGTTTTTGTAGTTTTCGTTTATAATCGAATCCCGAATGGGATGGGTGAGGGTGGCGAATGGTTACTCTGCCACATTGCCTAGCATCTACCGTATTCTCCGGATTATAAGACGCTGGGGGAAGTAAAACGCGGCCGAAACGTGTGCCCCGCCATAAAAAAAGTTATAGAAATCTGTTTACACGTGTACACATACGCACAGATACTGCAATGTTTGCTCTACAATAGTGTAACAGTTGGGCGGGACCCACCAGCGTCTTATAATAGGGAGAATACGATAAAGCAGAGCCTCCCTACGAGTAACCTAAGAACCTAAGAACGTCTCTTGAGAATGGGTCACGCAAATAGTACAGTGCATTTCCTGTGAGATTCGAATTAAGCCATGGGATTGTGCGTGGAATATATAAATATATATACCGCCAGGATCAGTCTTACATCCTGCACTTGTTTGCATCATTTATCCTTAACCAGGAGATTAAATAAAGCAAGCACTGAGACGCATGGATCCGAATGTTTATTTGCACTGGCGGAGGAGGAGAAATCCGATGAGCTATGAAGCTCTTTTTGACACATGTCCAGCAGGGGTGGACGGGGTCAGCGAGTTACATCGACGAACAATACAAACAACGGCATAAGAGCAAGGTAGAGAAAAAAGGTAAGCAAGGGATTAAAATAAATAGGCGA